CCCCTTTCCCTCTTCCATCCCCCCCTCCTCCTATCCCCCCCACACACTTCCTCCTCCTTAGATTCCCTCTCACTTGCTCCTTTGAGCCCTCACACTCCCCCCTCTCACCTCCCCTCCCTCTTGGTCCCTCTCACTTCCCTCACCTATTCATTCTGATAGGCCAAAAAAGCACCGCTTTCCCTTTCACCTCCCCTCTTATCCCCCACCTCCCCCTCCTTAAGGCCCCCTCTCTCCCCCTTCTCACTCCCCACTTTGGTCCCTCTCACCTCCCCCTCTAGGTTTCTCACGCCCCCTCCAGGTCCCTCCTCAGCCCCACCTTGGACTCTCTCACACACCCCCTCCCAGTCCCTCTCACCTCCCACCCTCACCTCCTCGTTCTGATAGGCCGTCACAGCTATGAACTGGGTCTCAGGAAAGCAGTGGCTGGTGATCATGCGCTGGGGACCCCCCACTCTCACGATGTGGATCCGGGGCTCGTACTTATGCAAGGAGTTCAACATGATCTGAAGGAGACAGAGAGGGTCGCTGGCCATCACCTCCTGCGTTAGAACAGCTCAACATCTCTTTGCCCCACAGTGCAGGAGAAAATCACATCCAGGAGAGAACTCCATGCTCATCTCCCCAGAGTGTCCGCCCTGGGGGAAGAGGTGGCTCCAGGGGCGAGCTTCCCGGGTTTCACGCTGGCTCCACACGTTACAAGCCCAGCACAAACCGGGGATGGCTACAGACATCTCTAGATGCTTGGGCTTGTCTGCAACTTGTGGGACTCGAGGTCTTCCAGGAACAATCCCCGACTGAAGAACTTTCCTTAGATGAGGGCAGCTTTACAGGTCAGCTGGGCCTGCAGGCGTCCAGCGTTAAGGCAGGCATTCACCAGCAAGGCTGATGCCTCCGCTCCTTCCTGGAGCGTTCAGGGGTGGACACAGATGGGCCCGACCTTCGATGGCGAGTGCTCCCGGGGACAGACAGTCGGAACGGAGAAGGGGCTGCGGCTTCTAGGGGCAGGGGTCACCTCTGTCCACGCAGCGTCCCTTCCAGGGCCCCGGACACTAGGCCCAGGAATGCAGCATCCCCCACCTGATAACCCTCCGCCCTGCCCCCCACCTACCTGGCCTCCTCCGTTGAGCTTGTTGGTGAGCTTGACTTTGCTGAAGGATACGGGCGCCTTCATCCAGTGGGCCCCGAAGTTGGGCGAGTCGGGGTGGATGTACACGCAGCTGGGCGCCTGCGGCTCGGGCTTGCCCCCGGGAACCCACTCCCCGTTAACGTACTTCCAGCGGTGGTTGTCGGCCGCCACGAAGTCCAGCAGGAAGGAGTACATGGCGTTGGGGTCCAGGCCCGACACGTTAACCTTCAGCACCGGGAACATCCTCCTGGGAAAGGTGGGGCGCGGCGGGGAGACCCGGATCCCGTCGGTCAGGCGGGACGCAGACAGCCTGGCGCGGAGGCGACGAGGAGCCCCCTGGGGACGCCCAAGGTGGCCCCAGGCGCCCTCAGAGATCCCAGACCCTGGCGGCCTCCATCTGCTCACCGCCTCGGGAGGCAGCCGGGAGAACCCGGCGAAGGGTTTCGGCTCCGGAGGCCCACCCCGGCCGAGACACACGTGGACCGAGACCCAGGGCTCAGTCGTCCATCCCCAAGCTTCGGTGGGGACAGCCCCAGAGAGCGCCGGCTTGGAACCCAGTAGGGGCGACGGACGCAGGAGCAGACACCCAGGAAGCCCTCCTGGGGGGGAGAAGAACTCTGTCCGCGAGGAGGCCCGCGCCGCGCCGCGCGCACCCACGCACCTGCCGTTCTTGGTGACGATCATCTCGTTGGTGAGCTCCTTGAAGCGCAGCCACAGCTCGCCGTCCTCCAGCCCCACGCGCAGCTCGCGCTCCGTGGGGTCGCCCTTCTCGCTGCCCGCCCGCAGCTCGCTCTCCACGGCGCTCAGCAGGTGGT